CTGTTCACGAGAATGATCTGATGTGTCTGTCGGCTGCTCGTGGTCCAGAACAGGAAGGTCAGGGAGCATTGCTGGTTGCCGTCCAAACAGAGCGTTGCATGGAGACACGTCATTATATCAGGTAAATGCGTTGGCGGCGAACAAGGCTTCGTGCGGTAGTCTGGTGAACACAAGAGGAATGTCTAACCTATTGAGTTCAGCCTCCATGGCGTGAAGTAAATGACGTAGGATGCCATTTCTGGCCTCGATCCTCGTAGCGTGCTGTCCACGCGCACGTATTCTAAGTTCAGTGCCATTTGCCTTGAAGACTGCTATCGCAGTGTCGTTATTAAGGGCACCTTCTCCATCGGAGTAAAGTACCTTAGCCGGTCCAAACTGCATCCAGCACTGACGATATGCATCCAGGATGGTGCTCATAGTTTTGTCTGGTATTTCCATCCCAGTAGCATATCGTATACAACGATAGATAATGAGAAATCTGTTGTGGTTTTACTTGTAGAACGTCACATCACATTCCACTTCATCATTGAATTCACCGGGTAATGCAGTAGAGGGCATAACAGTGTGTCCAGGTTTGTCCCAAGCTCTGCATTCTCGGCACGTGTTGCAGACACCTTTGATGAGGTTGAGTCTAACACTGTCCAGACCGATTTTGCTTAATATGAGTCTCATCTTAGGCTCCTTCGCATGGAACCAGCGAAAGTGCAGCTTTCGCAACACGCGCGTTCCCACTACGTTTTACAAAGTGAATGGGATAATGTTTGCCTCTTGAAGGCCCTCTTGGGGCCCTCTTCGGCCATCTTGAAGCCATCTCGGGCCCTCTTGGGCCTCGCTGAGGCTGTCTTGTGGGCCTCTTGGGCGTCCTCGGAACCTGGAAATCATGTTCCCGGAGAGGCTTCTGGGAACATGACTTCGAACGAGGCTCTCTTGGGCCTCCCTGATGCCGTCTTGGGGGCCTCCGGGGCTGGCTTTGGGGCCACTTGGCCCGTGTTGGGGGGGTCCGCGAGCCCCACAGGACGACCCTTTCGGGCCGTCTTGGGCCCTCTTGGGTCTCTCTTACGCTGTGTTGGGGTTCCTCGGGGGCGTCTGGGGCACTGCTAAGACGAAGCAAGGGAGTAGACTGAAAATGCACGTTGTACTAAGGGAACGGGCTGATGTTTGCCTCTTGAAAGCCCTCTTGGGGCCCGCTTCGGCCATCTTCAAGCCACCTCGGGCCCTCTGGGGCCTCGCTGAGGCTGTCTTGTGGGCCTCTTGGGCGTCCTGGGAACCCGGAAATCATGTTCCCGGAGAGGCTTCAGGGAACATGATGTCGAACGAGGCCCTCTTGGGCCTCCCTGAGGCCGTCTTGGGGGCCTCCTGGGCCGGCTTCGGGGCCTCTTGGGCCGTCTTGAGAGGATCCGTGGGCCCCACGGGACGACTTTTTTTGGGCCGTCTTGGGCCCTCTTGAGTCTCTCTTGGGCTGTGTTGGGGCTGTCTCGTGGGCGTCTGGAGCACTCTGAAGACGAAGCAAGGGAGTATCCTGGAAATGCACGTTTTACGAAGGGAATGGGCCGATGTTTACATCTTGAAGGCCCTCTTGGGGCCCTCTTCGGCCATATTCAAGCCATCTCGGGCCCTCTGGGTGCCTCGCTGAGGCTGTCTTGTGGGCCTCTTGGGCGTCCTGGGAACCCAGAAATCATGTTCCCGGAGAGGCTTCAGGGAACATGACTTCGAACGAGGCTCTCTTAGGCCTCCCTGAGGCCGTCTTGGGGGCCTCCTGGGCCGGCTTTGGAAACTCTTGGGCCGGCTCGGGGGGTTTCGTCAGCCCCACAGGCCGACCCTTTTTGGGGCCGTCTGGGGCCCTCTTGGGTCTCTCTTGGGCTGTGTTGGGGCTGTCTCGTGGGCGTCTGGGGCACTGTGAAGACGAAGTCAGCGAGCATGCTGAAAATGCACGTTTTACAAAAGGGATGGGCCGATGTTTGCCTCTTGAAGGCCCTCTTGGGGCCTCTTGGGGCGCTCTTGGGCGTCTTCGGGGCCTCTTGAGGCTTTCTTGACCATCTGGACGGCCCGCGTGGCCTGTCGTGGGCAACTTGGAAGCGGCCCGGGGCAGTCCCAGGGGGTCTGTGACCCCCAAAGGTTCGGGAAGGCCATGGGGGATGACGGCACCGATGTTGCCCCCCCCCCGGCCTACTCATATATACATATATATATATATACATACATACATATATATATATATATATATATATATATATATAAGTTGTATCATACTATACTATAATATAATGGAATATAACAAAATATAGTATAACATGATGCGATATAATGTAATGGAATACACTAAGTATGCAATAGATAATATACTGTACCATACTATAATATAGCATAATGCTATATAATACGGCATGCCATAACATGATGCAGTACGACCTAGTATAACATAAAATAGCATGGCATGATATGATAAAAAAATACACCATGCGATAACACAATATAGTATAGATAGTTTGATATGATATTACATATCATAATATGACATAATAAGATATAAATTGATAACCTACTGTATACGATAAGATAATACACTACAACATCATAAAATCTAACATAATATACGATAGCATAAAATGTCATTACATAACATAATATAATAAAACAAATACCAACACAGCATAATATTGTATATGCTGTGATTTAATAGGCGATCTGATACAATAGAACATGTCATAAACTAATACAATGTAACACGGTATACTACACTAGCATAGTATGAACTGTAGTATAGTATAATATAATATAATGTAAGCATCTATAACATAATAAAATATAATATGATATAACATGTGAAAAAATGATAGTGTACACTATAATGCCACATATTATAATGTAGTATGCTATGATAGTACATACTATGATATGGTATGGTATACATATACATACACATATACATACACACATACCTATACACATACACATACATATACATAATCATACAAATATGCATATACATATACACACAGACAGACAGACATACATACACACTCAGATGTGCATGCAAGCTTCACAGACACGCTGCTCCTATAGAAAAAAACGAACACCCCGCTTCGGCCCCACAGAGCCCCCGGGCGCACGAAATGGGGAGCATGTAGAAACCCTGGCATGGGAGTGTTCCTCTCCATCCGTCTTCGCCTCGTTCGTCATCCTCCTTGTCCTCTTCTCCCTCCTCCGAGAGCAGGATGAAGGGGCAAACGACTTGCTGTCCTCCTCGTGCATCCTCCTCTCCACCTGCGTCTCCCCCCCGTTCCTCGTCCTTCTCGTCTGGGCAAATTTTGCCGATCTGCATTGCCATCTGGGTCCGTGAGGAGGAGGAGAAAGGAAGAGAAAGAGGTGGAGTAGGAGGGGGGGCCCGTTGACGCAGCCAGATTCGCCTGAAGTCCTGATCAGAACGCCATGCAGGACAAATTTGGATGGCTGGAGTCTAGGGTTTCTGTAGTGGGTCCTGTGAGGTTCAGGGCTTCCTGGGCCATCGCCCTCCTCATCGCCATCCTCATCGTCATACTGGTCCTCTGTCCAGTATTCCAACTATCTCTCTTCACGTACATCCTCTTCATCAGTATTCCTCCTCCTGCTCCTCACTGCCAACCTCCTCTACATCCTGATGTTCTTCATCCTCCTTCTCCTCCTCCTCCTCCGTCTCGCTGTCCCCCTCCTCCTCCTCCTCCTCCTCCTCCTCCTCCTCCTCCTCCTCATCCTCTGAATACCCCATCCTCCTCCGCATCATCCTTCTCATCGTCATCAGGCTTCCCTTCCTCTTCCTCCTCCACCTCACTTCCACCTCTTCTCAATCCCCATCATCATCATCCAAGCACGAGAGGGAGCAGAGAATGCAATTTGTAGGGAAGAGTATGAGGACGACAGCGACTACGACAGCAAAGACGACGACGAAGACAAAAGCGAAGAGAAGGCGACAGCGAAGACGATGTCGGCGACGAGGACCACGACATGGAAACTGGCAACGAAGAGGAATACAATGACGACGACGACGACAATGAATACGACGTCGACGACGACGAGAAAACGCGCGGCTCGACTAGAAGGAAAACAATCAACATAAGCGTGAACGTTCGGAGGTCTGGGCTGATTTCTTGCATCGGCGCTGGACCCGCCTCCATGGCGAGCCGAGTTTTCGGCAGCAACTCATGGTAGCCTTCCATATCATCTTGTCGGATCGACGCTAATCGACGCTGGTCGACGCTTATCGACGCAACATCGGCGCTAGTCGACGCTAACCGACGCTAAATCGGCGCTATCTCATCGACTCCCAGACGCTAATCGACGCGGGTCGACGCTAAAGACGGAAGTAAGAGGGCATACCAGGCTTAAGGGGGCACACCGGGCTCCCATGACCTGCTACCGAAGGAGGAGGAGGAGAATAAGGAGGAGGAGGATAAGGAGGAGGAGGAGGAGGAGGAGGAGGAGGAGGAGGGGAGGGCCCCCAAACCATGTGGTGACGGACCGGAGGCATCGCGGCTCCAGTCGGCAGGCTGGCGCCCCGCGAGCGCCGCGCGCGCGCGCCGGCCGGGACACGCCCCGCGAGCGCCGCCAGGAAATCGAACACCCGTCCAAGAGATCCGTTCGGATCTCCGACGGTTTGGGCGTGCCCCGTGCTGTTTTGCTCCGAGGGTCGGCCGGCGGCGACCGCGGAGGGGAAGAGAGAGGGGCCGGGCCTTCTGCGGGAGGGTTTCGCAAAGGCCCTCGCGCCTTCCGAGCGGGGTTCTGGGCCCTCTCCGAAGACAGACGGCTTCTCGGAAGGCCGGCTGGGCTTCTGAGAAGGCCCCGCCGCCTGCTGAGAAGGCCTGCCCCCCCTCACTTCCCCCAAGGCAGTGACAGAGGAGGAGGAGGAGGAGGAGGAGGAGAAGGAGGACGAGGAGGAGGAGGAGGAGGAGGAGGAGGAGGACGAGGAGGAGGAGGAGGACGAGGGGGGGCGCGCCGCCGAGAGTGGCAGCGCCCCAAGGCCTGGCCTCGGGCTTCAGCGCCTTGATGCCCGCGCCGTCCGACAGCCTCACCTGCCAGCGGCCGCTGGCGGCGTCGAAGGGCCCGAGGACCCCCCTGCAGCCTCGGGCCGCCACGCGGAGACGGGCCGCCGCAACACCGAGGCCGACGTCGACGTCAGCGTCGCCGCTGTCGGCGTCGCCGTCGTCGGAACCTCGCCGTCAACAACGCCTTCGCAGTCGGCTACGGAGGCAGCGCCGTCGTCGTCGCGCCGAGGTTGTCGGCGCCGACTTCGCCGGCGCCGCCGGCGGCTGCGGACAATGTGGGGGCGGCGTCGGCGGGGCGGGGCGAGGGTGGGGTTCCATACGTGGGTCCCCGGCTCGCACGGGCGATCCCCTCGGAATCTGGCCGAGCGGGCGCGGGTCCAACGGAGGACACCACTGCGGCAGAGGACCCTGAACAGCTGTACGCGTCGATCGGAAGAAGTATGTAGAAGCATGAAGTGAGAAGGCGCCTTGATTAGATTGGGATAGCAAAAACACATCATCAGCTGACGGTTGCTTCAAGCAGGAAGGCACTTGAAAGAGGTTTGGATCTGGGTATCCAAAATTACCTCTCAACGACCGACGGGTACGCATGGGACGATGGGGGGCCACGGTGGGCCACAGACTTCGGGGGCCGGACATCCCTCCCCAGGCGCATGAAGAATTCGACGGTCGGGCCCAGGACTGAAAGACATCCTTCAAGAGCATGGGACACTCCGCTGGCCAAAACACCCCAAGGTATGAGATCGCTCGAAGGTACCCTCCCCCGGGATGCACAACAACGTCCAACAGGCACGAAGAACATTAAGGCACCCTCCCCGAACCGACCTCGCCCTTGTACCTCGGTCCGACCGCCTTCGGAACCTGGATGGAGAAGCGGTTTAGAGAAGTTCAGCCCTTGGGGATTCAGATCTGGGGGCCCGCCTCTGCTCAAGAGAAATCTCCCTACGGGAAATCCATTTCCCTCCTCGCACCTCCTCATCATCGTGCCTCGACGCTCGTCATCCCCCTACATCATTGTTCTTACGGTTCTCAGTCGTATTCCCCCTCCTCCTCCTCTTCACGCTGCTCTTCCTCCTCCTCCTCCTGCTGCTGATCATTTTCCTCCTCCTCATGTTTCTCATCACCCCGTGCTTCTCCCCCACTCAGTCTTCCTTGTTCCTCTTCAATCCCGGTCTTCCCATCACCCCATCGATCATTATAATTTTCCTCCGACGTTCCTCCTCTCGTCCCCCGCTCGTCTTCTAAACTCATCTTCGCCGCCTCGCTCTTTCCCCCAACGTGTTCCTCCGCCTCCCCATCCCCGCGTTGCCTCCGATCGTTCTCCGCTCCTCCCATGATCATCACCACCACCTCCTGCTTCTGTGTTTTGCCTATTCATCGCGAACGCAGGCCAGGGCTGAGTCAGGGTAGTCGTAGCATGATGCTCTTGTGCGTAATATTCATGTGCGTCTTGCTCAAGGGGACCGCACGGTCCCAACGGCTTGACGATGAACTTGTTGCCATGGCCTATGGCCCGCTAAGCGGCATGCGTATCTGTATGTGCTGAAGCCAGCCGGGCGGCCGAAAGGGCGGGGTGAGGCCGCGCGCGCACCCTTTTGATGCAGATGTAATCAGCTGCGGAGACGTGTTTTTGTTTTTTCTCTCTCTCTCTCTCTCTGGTGCACTAGCCCCGCCAGCCCTCACTTGAAGGGAAGTGGCAGGGGTGATTAAACTAGCTCATCATCCTCGTCCCCGTCCTCGTCCTCGTCCTCGTCTTCCTCCTCCTCCTCCTCCTTCTCCGCCTCCTCATTCCTCATCATCCTCCTCTGGCCTCCCCTCTTTGCATCTCTTCTCCGTCTCTTGTCCCCGCCCAATCCAACTCGTTCCTGCTCCTGCTCCTGCTATTCCTCTTGCTCCTCCTGCCCCCTACGATTCGCTTCGTTCCCCCGTCCTACTGGGGCGTGGCCATTGCGAACGCGATGCCGTTGCGACGGCGTTGCCACTACGACGACGCTGCCGTTACAACTGTACGACGGCGTTGCTGTTGCGACGTCTTTGCCGTTGCAAAGGCGCTGCCGTCGGCGTCCAAGGCTCTGAACAAAAAAAACAATGTTTCGTCTTGTGAAGCGGTTCTCTTGCAGCCACGCTGGGGGGCTCTTCGCGTTTTGGCCACGTGAGAACCAGAATTGGTTGAAGGCTGATGGGCTTTTGTTATCGCCACCTCGACGAAATGCGACGGTGTTGCCGTCTCAAAGACGCTGCCGTCATGATGGAGCTGTCGATGCGACGTTGCCGCCTTTGTAATGATTCGCTGCCGTTGCCAAGTCGGCAGCATTTTTGTTGATACTATCCTGTGGTGGTGGGTCCTCGTTTTGAAGAGACAACGCCCCGACTCCCTTACTCCTCTCCTCTCCTCCTCCTCCCCCTCCTCCCGCTCCTCCGCCCTTCCCACCCCCATTCCGGAACACCCCCCATACGCTTTACGGCCCCATATGGAGCTCCACCGAGGGCCCCAGTGGCTGCGTTCGCTTGCGGTTCCACCCAATGTTGGCACTACCCTCACACGTTTCGAGGCCCCGTAGAGAGCTCCACCGAAGGCCCCAGTAGCTGCGCTCGCATGCGGTTTCAGACCCATTTCGCACACCCCTCACAGGTTTCGTGGCCCGCAGGGAGCTCCACCGAAGGCCTCAGTGGCTGCGTTCGCATGCAGTTCCACCCCCATGTCGGCACACTCCTCACAGGTTTCGTGGCCCCATAGGGAGCTCCACCGAAGGCTCCCGTGGCTGCGTTCGCATGCAGTTCCACTCCAATTTCGCCACACCCCGCACACGGTTCGTGGCCCCACAAGGAGCTCCATCCAAGGCTCCTGTGACTGCGTTCGCATGCGGTTCCACTCCCATGTCGGCACACTCCTCACACGTTTTGTGGCCCCATAGGGAGCTCTACCGAAGGCCCCAAAGCTGCGTTCGCATGCGGTTCCACCCCCATGGCACACCCCTCACACGGTTCGTGACCCCATAGGGAGCTCCACCGAAGGCCCCAGTGGCTGCGTCCGCATGCGGTTCCACCCCCATGTTGGCACACCCTTCACACGGCTCGTGGCCCCATACGGAGTTCCGCCGAAGGCCCCAATGGCTACGTTCGCATGCGGTTCCACCCCCCCACTTCGACACACCCCTCACAGGTTCTCTGGCCGCATAGGGAGCTCCACCGAAGGCCCTAATGGCTACGTTCGAATGCAGTTCCACCCCCATTTCGGCACACCCCTCATAGGTTTCGTGACCCCATAGGGAGCTCCACCGAAGGCTCCCGTGGCTGCGTTCGCATGCGGTTCCACTCCCATGTCGGCACACTCCCCACACGTTTTGTGGCCCCATAGGGAGCTCCACCGAAGGCTCCGGTGGCTGCGTGTGCATGCGGTTCCACTCCCATTTCGGCACACCCCGCGGCCCCAGTGGCTGCGTTCGCATGCGGTTCCACCCCTACGTCGGCACACCCCTCACACGGTGTGTGGCCCCGTAGGGGGATTCACCGAAAGCCCAGTGGCTGCGTTCGCATGCAGTTCCACCCAAAGTCGGCACACCCCTGACACGGCTCGTTGCCCCATATGGAGCTCCGCCGAAGGCTCCAGTGATTGCGTTCGCATGCGGCTCCACTCCCATTTCGGCACACCCCCACACGTTTTGTCGCCTCACAGGGAGCTCTACCGAAGGCCCCAGCAGCTGCGTTCGCATGCGGTTCCACCCCCACCACTTCGGCACACCCCTCACACGTTTTGTGGGCAGATATCGCCGAAGGCCCCCGTGGCTGCGTTTGCATGCGGTTCCACCCCAATTTCGGCACACCCCTCACAGGTTCCGTGGCCCCATAGGGAGCTCCGCCGAAGGCCAGTGGCTGCGTTTGCATACGTTTTCACCCCAATGTCGGCACACCCCTCACACGTTTCGTGACCCCATAGGGAGCTCCACCGAAGGCCCCAGTGGCTGCGTTCGCTTGCAGTTCCACCCCCATGTCGGCACACCCCTCACACGGTTTGTGGCCCCATAGGGAGCTCCGCCGAAGGCTCACTGCGTTCGCATGCGGTTCCACTCCCATTTCGGCACACCCCTCACACGTTCCGTGGCCCCATAAGGAGCTCCACCGAAGGCCCCAGCAGCTGCGTTCGCATGCGGTGCCACTCCCATGTCGGCACACCCGTCACACGTTTTGTGGGCCGATAAGAAGATCCACCGATGGCCCAGTGGCTGCGTACGCATGTGTCGGCACACCCCTCACACGGTTCGTGGCCCCATAGGGAGCTCCACCGAAGGCCCCAATGGCTGCGTTCGCATGCGGTTCCACCTCCATGTCGGCACACCCCTCACACGTTTTGCAGGCCGATAGGGATATCGCCGAAGACTCCGGTGATTGCGTTCGCATGCGGTGCCACCCCCATGTCGGCACACCCCTCACACGGTTCCGTGGCCCCATGTGGAGCTCCGCCGAAGGCCCCAGTGGCTGCGTGTGCATGCGGTTCCACCCCCATTTCGGCACACTCATCACACGTTTTGTGGCGCCATAGGGAGCTCTACCGAAGGCCCCAGTGGCTGCGTTCGCATGCGGATCCACTCCCATTTCGGCACACCTCCACACAGGTTGTGGCCCCATAGGGAGCTCTACCAAAGGCCCCAGCAGCTGCGTTCGCATGCGGTTCCACCCCAATTTCGGCACACCCCTCACAGGTTTCGTGGCCCACAGGGAGCTCCGCCGAAAGCCCCAGTGGCTGCGTTCGCATGCGGTTCCACCCCCATTTCGGCACACCCCTCACACGTTTCGTGGCCCCCACACGGAGCTCCAACGAAGGCCCCAGCGGCTGCGATCGCATGCGGCTAGGGAGCTCCACCGAAGGAAATAATCACAACTCTGGTATTCACAACTGCATGTGGTTGGGACCTCCGCCAGGATAATTTGTTGCCATGGCATTGTTGGCACGACCGCTTTGTCAATGCCACGACGTTACTGCCATGTCAACTCACCGTTGCAGTTTCGACGCGTTTCCACGATGGGATTGAGTATGGTGATCGGGCAGAGTAACTGACGGTGCCGTTCACGCGGGCAATGATCGTAACGATTATTGGTTGCTGTTGTGAAATTACGATGTGATGGCGGGGCCGATCATTACAAAGGCGACTCTGTGATTTTGTCAAACCTTTGGCGAGACCACGTCCGCCATGGCGCGGCCTTCACTGCCTAAGCGCGGGGACGTGGTCGAAACACAACCCTATTACGCATCGCATAGCACTATGCAGACTAAACAATCATAAGAATGTGTGTAATGTGACACACGTATGCAATTACTTGTTGCTGCCTACATGGTCGTGCTCGCGCAAATAAATCAAAATGCTCCACGGTAGTGTTTAAATGTATAGGTGTCGTTTGACAATTTTACGTCCCTGGGTCGCCGCCGCCGCCGCCTGGCCGCAGTCGCCGGTCGCCGGAGGCCAATCGTCAACAAGGGCGCCTAACTTCGCGCTTCGCGCTGCGCGAAGCGCGAATAACTTCTCGCTCCGGCGCCGCCCCCCAACGGAGAAGAAGAGGATGAGGAAGAATCGGAGCCGAACCGTGAAGCGCGAATAACTTCGCGCACTCGAGGGCGCCCTTGCCTCCTCGACACGACTGGTGACTCCCCCACTGAAGTCGCGAGTCGGCGGGGCTGGTGTGCTCCGAGCCCGCGGCCATTGAACTTCTGCCCGGCGGCAGACGCCAGTCCTGCGGGCGCCCCCGCGCGCGCGCGCGCGGCTAGCTCTGGCTCGCAGGACCTCCGACGACGCAATTCGTTTCGCAACGAGGACCCCTGGAAGCTTATCGAGAGACGCAAGGCTCGAGTACGGGGGACTCGGATGGGAGCGCGTTTTTTATGTTCGGCGATGACGGGCGTCATGGGGGCGGGGGGGCGAAGGGGGGGTATGACGTAACGCCCCCCCCGCCGTGTGGCTCCAGCACCGCAGCCGCGCCCGCGCGCGCGCGCGACGCGACGAGCGACGAGCGACGACGACGACAACGACGACGACGACGACGACGACGACGACGACGACGAAGACGACGACGACGACCACGACGACGACGATCACGACGACGACGACGACGACGACGACGACAACGACGACGCGAGCAGCATGTGGGTGACCGGCGATATGCCCCACTGCGCCTGTGTACACCACAACGCTCGCGTGCACCACAGCGCGCGTGTATACCACAGCGCCTGCGTACACCGCAACAACCGTGCGCAACGCAGCGCCTGTGTACCACAATGCTTGCGCACACTGGAGCGACGGCGTACAATTGCACACCGCAGCTACCATGTGCAACACAGCGCCTGTGTACACCACAGTGTTTGCGTGCACCGCAACGCCCGTGCACGCCACAACGCGTGTCTACACCGCAGCATCCGCGTGCAACGCAGCGCTGGTGTACACCACAACGTCTGCGTGCTCAGGACAGGTAGAAGGAGCATGTATGTGAGGATCTGCTGCGGACAACTAGACGAAAAGCCAAGAAAATGCTGATAATCGAATGCGACGTTTTTTCCACCTCCCTCCTCCTCCTCCTCCTCCTCTTCCTCCTCCTCCTCTTCCTCTTCTTCCTCCTCCTCTTCCTCCTCCTCCTCCTCCTCCCCCTTACCCCCTGTCGTGCGGGTTGGCGCTACAGCGCGCGTGCGCATCTCACCAAGCACCCGCAGAATGGTCTATTGAATCGGTCCACTTGGTTCTCGGATGGCAAATTGAGCTGGAACCTCCTGGACGCAAAGGGAGGAGTTAGGGTGATGCAAGCGGACTTGGGAGAACACGTAGATTCCAGCGGCGCTCCGTTGTCCGTAGAGATTATATTGTTGTTACCTGTGGCATCCACAAACGCTCCACTTTGTTATAAGGATTCGTTATCACCTTCCGTATACAACAATCGTGTTGCGTTGCACACGGTTGCTGTGGTGCACACAGGCGCCGTGGTGCACACAGGTACTGCAATGCACGCAGGCATTGTGGTGTATAGTGGTGCCATGTTGCACACGGCTGATGTGGTGAACGCAAGCGCTGTGGTGTGCACAAGAGCTGTTGTGCCCGCAGGCACGGTGGCACAAACTGACGCTGTGTTGCACGCGGCTGCTGTGGTGTACATAGGTGTACACAGGCGCTGTGGTGCACGCAGGCACTGTGGTGTACACAAGCGTCGTGGTGCAAATCGCCACCTACATGCTGGCGCTACCCGTCCTCCGTCATTCCTAGGCATCCCAAACGCCGCCGGCGCGAAACGTGACGCCATCGACCCCTCCACCCCCCGCCTAGATGATGGCCGTCATCGGCCCGGAATGAAAAACAGGCTTCAGCCGCGTCCGCGCGCACGACGACTATGAGCGACGAGCGACAAGCCACGAGCGACGACGACGACGACCGACGACGACGACGACGACGACGACGACGACGACGACGACGACGACGACGACTGCGGACCAGACTCCTATGCGGATTCCAACGCGGACGCCTACGCGGATCTCAATGCGTACAGCGGCAGTGCTCGGAGCGCACTTGGGGGCAGTGCCCAGAGCGCACTGGAGGGGGGAGAGCTGCGTCATAGGACGGGGGCTGGGGGCCATGACGCCCGTCATAGCCCAAGCAATAAAGAAACGGGCTCTTGGCCTGACGGGGCCATCATAAAAATCACGAGGCCAAATCTGAAGTTTGACGCGAGCTCCCGCTGCAAACATCCCATGAAAATTGGACCGTCAAAATCCGGGACGAGCTCGTCAAAAAACACTGGCAAACCCGAGATCCGGCTTACTCGAGTCTGACGTTTCCCCGAATTTCGGCCCCTTCCCCAGAACCGGCTCTTCATCCTGGGTCGTTCTTTGCCAGTCCCGGGGGGCTCGGCGAGGGCACCTGGCGGCCGAAAACGAACGATAAGACCCGTCGGGATTATCTGCGCGACGCGAGGGAGGCTGGGCCTGCCAGTGCGAGGGGATTTGGACTCGGGCTCGCAGGATGCTAATGTGAGCGTTTCTTGATTCATTATTTTGCCGATCGGCGCGGGCCCTCGCACCCCCCCCCCATGGAGTAGATCTTTGCCGTTTTTGACGCCCGCTTGGCGCCCCATAGGACGCACGGTCCCAAACAGTCGCACTAAGCAGAGGTCTGGAGCCAGACCCCCCCCCCTCCCCCGCACATGTCTGCCCTGTCCTCCCAACAAACTCGATCGCAGTCTGGAGCGAGCTCCTCGAACACAAGACGTGATCCTACGAAACTCTCTGAAACATCAAGAGACCACAAATATGTGCGAGCACGCATGGGCATGCCGGAACAATACAAGATGCTATGAAGGCCAGTCCACGAGAAACCTTCCACAAGAAACCCGACCCTGAGACCCCAGGATGTACATCGATGTTTGGTGTGGGAGCGTCGCGCTCTCCACGGCAACACCATCGAAACCCAAGAAACCCAGGGCACCCTGGAGGCAAGCAGGGTGGTTCTTGGCATGGGCCTCCACTGTAACACACATGAGCGACGAAGCAAAAAAAAAGAAGTGTCCTTCACGACGGCATGGAGACCTTGCGCGGTGGCCCCCGCGGACCGCCAGCGCGGCACGCCGCGTCGAGAAGAGGGCGCGTTCGCGCGACCTTTACGCAAGAACCTTACGCACGAATGTCCAGACAATCGACCCCGTTGTTTGCATCCGTCGCTGACAGGACATCATCTCGACGACAAAATCTGAAACCAACTGCCAGAACCAATACAAGACACCACTGGGAACGTGTCCGATATGCACTGCCATAACCATTGTGCCTATTGTGAAATGCACATTATACCTCTGATCTGTCCAGAACTATTTTTAGCGGAGCTGGGTGGCTTGATGGATACGCCATACCAGACAGCCGAACCGAGCGGGCTGGCCGAGCTAGACGGACTGGCCAGCCTGTTGGTAAGAACCAGATGGGCTAAACGCCTAGGACCAGACTAAGCAGTTCGAGGTCAGCAGGACGGGGTAGACCGTCATCGGCGCCCAAATAAGTTATGCCTTCAGTTGAGCTCATGTAATTGTACGCGCGTGCTCTCGCAGTCAATGTAAACCACTCCTTACCGATTCTAACGGTACCAGCGCCCATCATGCCGATGGCGGGAAACTGTGGGCCACGACTGAACATGGCCGCGCACCAAACACGGCTCTACACAATTATGTAATTTCTACATAGTTATCGCATGGGGAAACGGGTCCTGAGGACAATGGATCCTGGACCCCCGGGCCTTCCTCCCCAGGACGAGATCTTCATCCTGAGTCGTTTTCTGACGGTCCAGGGGCCCGAGGAGGGCCACGAGAGCCCCACAACAACAAACATTACACCTGAGAAAACCCCAATCAGTGGATGATTTGAAAATTAGTCGTATGTATCTTGAGATAGATGTTTCAGATCGATACTGAGATCGATTGTGTAATCCATAGAGGACGATTGTAAGGTCGATCGTGAGACCGAAAGTGAAATCGATTCAATCAGATCGATAGGGAGATCGATCGCGAGATCGCTCGCGCGATCTCTAGTGAGATCGCTTGCGAGATCGATTGTGAGATCGACTGTGAGATCGATGGTAAGATCGATAGAGAGCTGGGAAATGAGATCGATGCTGAGACCAATCGATAAGAAGATCGACCAAGAACCTGGGAACCTGAGAACCTCGCCGCCCACCGAAATCGGCCCGGGAACCGGGAACCCGGGAACCCGGAGCCGGGAATCGGGGAACCCAGCGTGCGACCAAAACCGGCGGGAAACTCTCGCCAAATCCTTCCACCTCCGCTGTAGGACCCCTTCGGTGCAAGCACTGCTTGGAGAGAAACCTCAGGACCCGCTCCCCTCGGGACCCGCTTCCCCCATGGCGATCGCTCCTTCTCAACCCCTGGGGGAGCCAGTAAACCGGGAGCGAGCCGGCAGGTCCGGAGGATGTCTCGGACGCCGCGGCCGTTCCGGAGCGGCCCGCAACGCTCCGAGAGCGTTCCAGAGCGCTCCGGCCCTGGGAGGCTCCGCGCACGCCGCCAGGCCTCCATGGAAGGCGTGGAGTCGGGCTGCCAGAGAGTGCGCCCAAATCCAGGCCCCGAGACGTCCCTGCCGAGCCGGCCCCAGGATGGGAAGCAAGGGATGGGATGGGACGGTGACGGGGGATGGAATAGAGTGAAGAGAGGGAGCGGGAGAGAGGAGAGAACGGGACGGGCAGGGCGAGGTCAAGCGAAGGGTGGGGGAGGGGGGCGGCGAAGGCGGGACCAAGGAGTCTTCGCTGGACTCCCCATGCAAGCCGAATCACGCCCAAGTGTTTCACCCGTCCCACATCCCACACGAGGACCTCCCTGTCCTCCGCGGGGTCGCATTTTGCAGCAGGTGCGGAGGAAGGTCGTCTTCCATGGTAGTTAAGCTGAAGGACCCGTGCCTGCCCCCCACCAGCACGGGGAAGAAAGCGAGGTCCCGCCTTCTTCGAGGAATGCTGCCGCAAGGACTGCAGCGTTGGCCGACCCCCAGGCCGCCGGTGCGCAAGAATGCTGCGCGCTGGCCTTGAGAGTGCTGGCCCAGCGGATCTCACAATGAGGTCCCTGTCGGGCCCGTGGAGCGCACGGATTTCCCTTAGTAGCATGCAACATGCAACATGAAGGGTAGGGTGAGCGGGGGAAAGAGCACAGAGAAGAGTGGGGGGGGAAAGGGATGCGGGAAAGGGGAAGGGGGGAAAGGCAGAGTGAGGGGGAAAGGGAATGTGGAATCGCAAAGAGGAGGGGCACGAGGCGGAGAGGAGGGAGGGATGAGGGGAGGGCGGAGGAGGAGAAGAAGAGGGCGAAGCGGCGTGATGAGCCGGGCGGGGCGAGCTTTTGGGGAGAGGGGGGCAGGGGACGGAGAGGCGAGCGGACAGGCGACTGGGAGGACAAGTGGGGCGTGCGGGCGGACGGTCCAGCGTCGCAGAAACATGGAGGATCAAAACGGGGGGGCCGGGGAACGAGCATGATGAAAGGAAGTGGAGGGCTGTGACAGAGAAGGGGCTGCCAAACTAAGACAAACGAAAATCGAAGCATGAACTTGGTCTGTGCTCTCCATGTCCGCCTCCCATCGGAGAAGAACGAACTCAAGCACAAGCATGACCTTTCGGAGGCTCGCACGGATTTCTTGGATCGGAGCTGGATCATCCTTCCCTGCCACGCGGAGCGCGCCAGGGGCGGCGACGGAGGCTCCGCCAGAGGTCCAGCGCAGATCCGAGAAATCCGAGCGGACCTTCGAAAACTGACTTCTGTTGATGCTGGAACTGTGTTTTTCGAGCGACAGCCAGTGAGGGAGTCGGGAGGGAGGACCAAAGAGGGAGAGGCAGAAACAGGATGTACTTATACAAGGGAGGGAGGGAGCAGGGCGAGGCAGGGACGATCCCGCACTGGGGAGGAAGCAGGACGCGGTGGACGAGAACGGACCAGAAAGGGAAGCATGAACACCGTGAGGGGGGAAGCGTCCACCTTCAGCAGGCCTCCGCGGGACGAGCCTCGGTCCAGGTCTTGCTGGGTATGAAGTCTGGCCTGGCCAGCCAGAGCCGACGCCCACAGAGGTCTGAGCTCAGATCAGGCCTGCAGGTGTTGGAGAACTACGGCCGCTCTCCTTCCTTTAAACACACACACACACACGCATCATTTGAACAAAATTCAGAACGATCAACAGCATCATGTTCCTCCTGCGTAGCAGTCGTGCCGAATCTAACAAGCAGGAGTCGGGGCACAGGAAGTCCTGTAATGGTGACTGTCGTCCCAGTCTCCAGACCGTCTCCATCCTCCTGCGGGAGCGGGAGGGTGTTATGCAAAGAAGCTTGGCCCGCGCGCAGGGCAATGATAATCCCAAGAGCTAACGTCCATATGCTCGCAATGTACGTCGCGCTGGCAGTAGCAACGCATTGCTGGCAACCCGCAATAGCACCAGCAGGATGAGTTATAGTATGAGTAGTAGGGGTAGTGGTAGCAACATCAAAAGTATCGTGGGGCATGGGGGCATGGGGAACAGGTTCTGGTGTACAAGTCGGCCCGCGTATCAAAACGTTGGGAACGAACCTGAGTCTCGACTGCCCTTCTGCCCACGCATCCCTGTGCTCGGCTTGGTGGTGATGCTGGCGTCCGGCAAGGTGCCTTTCAGACCTTTCAGAGCCCACAACGGCCCAAAGACGTCCGTCGTGACGGCTGTTGCGACGCAAAGAGGTCGGGGAACCCCACGGCCCAGCTGGCCGCCCCTCTGGCTCCTCCTCTGCGGCGCCCCCGTCGACCAGCCGAAACCGTGGGAGCTGCGCTCCTCGCCGAGATTGGGGGCAACCCGTCGTATCGACGAGCTCTCGAGGGGCGCCGACACCGATGACCCCCAGGGAGTTGGGATCACGGCTTCCCGTCACGTCGAAGCACTCTCGAGAGGGGCGCCGAAGCCGATGGGCTCCCGGGCGGATTGGGGAACACGGCTCCCCCCGTGGTGCCTGCTCTGC